GATCCTGTCGGATTATAAACTGACAAGTCACTTCTGTATCCTGGTTGGATTATAAACTGACAAGTCACTTTTGTATCCTGGTTGGATTAAAAACCGACAAGTTATTTTCATCTGATCCTGTCGGATTATAAACTGACAAGTCACTTCTGTATCCTGGTTGGATTATAAACTGACAAGTCACTTTTGTATCCTGGTTGGATTAAAAACCGACAAGTTATTTTCATCTGATCCTGTCGGATTATAAACTGACAAGTCACTTCTGTATCCTGGTTGGATTATAAACTGACAAGTCACTTTTGTATCCTGGTTGGATTAAAAACCGACAAGTTATTTTCATCTGATCCTGTCGGATTATAAACTGATGAAAATTGGCATATATTGACTCCTAGTGCTGTCCTCTAGCTTTGTTGTTCGCTAAGGGTATAATCTAAATATATAATTTTGTCAATTCGTTTGTAATTATTACTTACGTAATTTATAATAAAACATTTAATTAACAACGTTATTTAATGATACACATAATTAAGGATATTTATTATTAACTGTTTTTCTAGTTCCGAATGTGTAATTATAACGAGCGATATGTGAGAGTGCATACAACTGGATAAATAAAGTGTAATGAGACACGTCTTTCTTCGAATCAACTAAATCAGTTAAACATCTTTCAGCTAAAATAAATTCTAGAAGTCATAATCACGTGATACTTAAGAATTACTGAAACTGAAAAAAATAAAAACGTATATTAATTTGTTTTTGTTGCCTTTGTAGGTTTCAACTTCACGAAGAGATTGTACCTCATCTGAAGGTTTTTCCAATGTCAGTGAAACGCCACCTACCGGACGTTTAATGTTCTATTTTCATATTACATCATGTCAGTTCCTATTTCAAAGGAAACCATTATGGACAGCTTAATAGCCGAAATTCAAGCCCAAAACATCACCTTCTTCGGAAACAATAGCCTCTTCGAAAATTACAGTAATCTTTTCCAAACTACGCCCTTCCATGATTACGTCACGTCCATTCCATCGGTACAAGTTTTCTTTTACTGCCTCTATGTGATCATCTTCGTCACTGGCATCTGTGGTAACGTTTTGGTCTGTTACGTTGTGTTTCGAAATAAATCAATGCAGACAGTGACCAATATCTTTATCACTAACCTGGCACTGTCGGATATCCTCCTCTGTACATTTGCAGTCACTTTTACGCCTCTGTACATATTCTTACGCCAGTGGATCTTTGGAAGTGTCTTCTGTCACTTGCTGACCTATGTTCAAGGCGTGAGTGTCTACATTTCGGCAATTACTCTAATGTCAATCGCTATTGATCGTTTCTTTGTCATAATTTACCCTTTCCAACCTCGCCTGAAAGTCAGCTGGTGTCTGATGATTGTTGTCTCTATCTGGATCATAGCAGCTTTGCTGACTATGCCCTACGGTATCTTCATAAGCTTAATTGTCGTAAGAGGGCGTCCATACTGTGAGGAAGAGTGGCCCCATGAAACAAGCAGAAGAGTTTTTGGTTTGTGCACATCCGTGTTGCAGTTTGTGGTTCCTTTTATCATTATAAGTATCTGTTACTTGAAAGTGTGTACCAAGCTGCGGGACAGAGCCAGGACCAAACCAGGAAACAAATCTTTGAGAAAAGAGGAGTTGGAGCGGGAAAGAACCAGAAAAACCAACCGGATGTTGATAGCCATGGTGGTTATCTTTGGAGTTTCGTGGCTTCCACTGAACGTGTACAATCTGGTCGTAGATTTCCACATCCCAGCACTCTCGTGGGAGTATCTAACCCTCTTCTTTGTCCTTTCACATTCAATAGCGATGAGCTCCACTTGTTACAACCCCTTTCTTTATGCTTGGCTAAACGAGAACTTTCGAAAAGAGTTCAAGATGGTTTTGCCTTGCTTCAAGGTTCAGCCAACTCCCAGAAAGGGCAACAGCGCCAAGAACGAGCGAACGTGCAATGGTCACGACACGGTTCAAGAGTCCTTGCTACCACGGTCTAATTCTTTAAGAAGGGAGGCCTGCCAGCAAGAAAAGGCGATGTCGGTCAAGTACGTGACGGAAACGGACAAAGTGAAACTTCAGATTGTTAACAATGAAGATGAGGCTGTTTAACCATTTAATCGAAACGCACATTCACAAACATTTCTATTAACTGCTTACTGTTGATGTTTTTTTTTATCCATTATTGTAATTCTTCCCGGAAGAGGGAGCTGAAAACGTTGCATCAAAATTTCGTAGAGCATTGTTCTCTGTTTTCTGAGATACTGAAATGTGCCAAGAGCTTCTGATGGTCGTTGTAACTCTACTTTCTGTTCTCTGCGTCCATCAGAGTTATCTGAAATCATGTAATGAAATGTGTCCGTCATTTACTGGACATTGATGGCCGTCATAAGTTCTTAAGATAACATTTAAAAAAACTTATAAAACGGTGGCCTAAAGAATTACTGACTAACTTTTGAAGTCATTGTTGTATCGTCACCGATAGGACAACTATAATTCTACGGACATACAATGCTAAAATACGAGGTCCGATACCTCGCGGTGGACACAGCAGATAGCCCAATGTGGCTGTTGCTCTAAATAAACGCTGTTGTATCCATTGTACTGTTTGTATTACCAAGCTATATTGAAATATCTTACGGTAGCATACTGTATTTTTTGGTGTAAATATCAAAGTGTTTGAACTTTTATTGTCCACAAATATTTAGGGAACTTCATAACTTTTTTTCCCCTTTTGGCGAAAACAAAATACTGTAAATTACTGACAGCTACTTTGTGTGTTCTGAGTTATTGCCAACAGTTGGTTTATATATATTGGACAGAGCACCTGTGAACTGGATTCTTCTAGCTTCTGTGGTCACCAGATCAAACTTGTTTAATAAGACTGATGATGTGCTGTTTAAAGATATGTTAGACCAGCACTATATTAGTGTAACCACCTTTTTTTGATCAATATATGGTTACTGTAACCATGGTTATGGTGTTGATAACACCAAACTTCTGGATTAACTCTCCCGCGCGAGGTCGAAAGGTCAAAGGTGATTAAAACTCTTAGATCAAACCAGTATATGGTTATTGTACTCATGACTGTGTTTTGACGAGACCAAACTTCTGGATTAACTCTCCCGCGCGAGGTCGAAAGGTCAAAGGTGAAGAGCACATTTATTGCTCCATGACCAAATTTATTGTTTCAAGACTAAACTGAAGATGAAGATAAAAAAAGAAGAAAAAAACTTCCGTTTCGAAGTTAACATATTGGTTTGAATAATGACGAGGTTGTGACCACCTAAAATAACTGATAAATGTTAGTTTTTAAGACTGTAACAATCGTAGCGTGTGGTCGAATATAACTTGATAAAATCCTGGGTTTTATCCGTACGAGATTCTGATGGTGTTGAAACTTCAAAAGATCAGAAGATGATAAGTCAGTCCACTCTCCACTGCCAGGAAGACTGTGGAAGTGTTGTCTCTCTGACTCACTGGTCATCTCTGTCAGTATAAGTCAGACGAGGTTAAAACACGGGGGCTACACAATCTTTCTAAAAGGGTGGAGAGCTGGGTAATGGTAAAATACATATAAATACACGCATTGTGTTTTTTCTTTAGTGAAGAATATGTTGTGACGAAATTTCTTTTATTTTTTCTTTCGCCCTGTAGCTCAGTATTCGCGCGTGCTAGAATATGTTCCTGTGGTAATTTGTGGCTATTTGTAACTGTAGCTAGTGGTATATATATATATATATATTACCTTGATAAAACGGTTTTATTCAGAGCTTTTACTCGTAATAACCACGAAAAGAGAACATATACTTCGTTAAACTTGTTTATATATACATATGCTTTACTGTCAGCCTCTGTGTGAAAATACACGTTAGGTGGGACTATATATATATATTTACATGCATATGCCTCTTAACAACCAAAGAAACTCATTTATGTCATTTATTTATATTCAAAAATGCTTTTCTGAAGCGGACATGCATGTTTTTTTAAAACGTGACAAGTATAGAACTAAAGTCCGGTTATAAGACCCTTATGTTTGTTTAAAACTTGACAAGTATAGAACCAAAGTCCGGATATAAGACCCTTATGTTTGTTTAAAACTTGACAAGTATAGCACCAAAGTCCGGTTATAAGACCCTTATGTTTGTTTAAAACTTGACAAGTATAGCACCAAAGTCCGGATATAAGACCCTTATGTTTGTTTAAAACTTGACAAGTATAGAACCAAAGTCAGGATATAAGACCCTTATGTTTGTTTAAAACGTGACAAGTATAGAACCAAAGTCCGGTTATAAGAACCTTATGTTTGTTTAAAACTTGACAAGTATAGAACCAAAGTCAGGATATAAGACCCTTATGTTTGTTTAAAACTTGACAAGTATAGAACCAAAGTCCGGTTATAAGAACCTTATGTTTGTTTAAAACTTGACAAGTATAGAACCAAAGTCCGGTTATAAGACCCTTATGTTTGTTTAAAACTTGACAAGTATACAACCAAAGTCCGGTTATAAGAACCTTATGTTTGTTTAAAACTTGA